CAAGAATTATTCAGCTTCAAGTTTGATTTGCTGAAGAATTTCCAGATGGTAAACGGTTTGGAAAGCAAAAAATTTATGCACACTTCCTTACTGTGTTTTCTAGACAAAAAACGGTATAAGAAAGTCTCACAGACAGGACAGGAGGCTGATTTTCTTGATGTTTGGCTAATTTTCTTGTTTTTTTGTCTGTGTGTAGATTCTACACTTGACCTACTACGTTGATACTTGAAATATAAATTTTTATGTTGGTTAGTAATCAGTTTAATTTAGTTGGAATGGTATTGTTTGTGATTATTTAGAACAGGGTGTGTATATTGCATGTTTGTTGCTAACAGGGAGGAAGTCTAGTTTTTGAGGGAGACTATGTTGAACTTTTAGGAATGCCTTGTGAATTAATTGAAATTAATGTGAGTTTTTAATTTTATTATATACAAACTTTTGATCTTGACTAGTAACATATTTAATTTGGTTGACATAGTGCTATTTATAATTATCTAGTTCAAGTTGTCTATATTGTGTGTTAATTTGTTGTTAATAGAGAGGAAGTTTAGTTTTTAAGAGAGATTCTACTAAATTTTTAGGAATGTCCAATGAATTAATTGAAATTAATGTATTTTAATATTACTAAATATAAATTGTTGATCTTGGTTAGTAATAAGTTTCATTGGTTGAAATAGGATAATTTATAATTACCTAAATCGGATTGTATATATTTTGTTTATTGTTAACAGAGAGGAAGTCTGGTTTTAAAGGGAGGCTTTATAGAATTTTTAATTATTCATCATGAATTAATTAAAATTAATATAAGTTTTAAATTTTATTAAATACAAAATTTTTATTTGGTTATTGACAAATTTAATTTAATTGAATTATGATATTTGTTTTATAAAAAAGGGTATTGTGTATTGTATGTTTGTTTTTAACATTGTGGTAGTCTGAATGTTAGAGAAGATTCTGTGAAATTTCATAAAAATCCGAAAGGATTTGCCAAAATTATTAACATAGCTTCTCTATTATATTATATATATGTTACACATAGTGAGGAAGTTAAATTTTTAAGAAAGGTAACCAAAATTGAATTGTAAAAATTTAAGTGATAAATAGTGATCTAGTTCAAAACTACACTTCTCTAATGCATTTGTTTTTTTCATTT